CCAGGGTGGGCTCAGCCCACCCCAGCCCACCCTTGGCGCCGCCACTACCCACACTCCACACCCACACCCTCAAGATTAGATTTCTATGAACATCCAAGCTCATGGTTTGCTATTGATCATTTCGTCGAACAAATTGAAAAGATCTTGAATCATTTTCCAGCACTTATTCATTTAACATTACATTGTACTCCTAGTGAACTATCTTACAACAAACTGTACAATTTATCAGAATTAGCTCAAGAATCGTATATCAGATTGTTACTTTCTCGATCGAATATGAATGGTCGTTTAGGTTATAGAAATAGATCATACACGTTTGATATTTGGTTGTAAATAATTTTGTTAAATATAAATGAAATATAGAATGATGTACTTGATTTTTTTTATCGTTCGCACACATAACAGGTGAACAATTTAAGTAAGTCATGAATAAGTTAATTCATTTTTTGATTCGAGAATTTGGTACAAGTGCAGAACAAGAACACTATCTATTTAACCCTTTACGACCGGATGTTGCCATTTGACAACATTGAGTTAATATTTCTCTCTAATTTCATTTGAAGTGGATTTGTATAATTGTTTTGACAATTTGATAATTATCTTTACATATATGAGCATACATTCATGAATTCTCAAGAAAAAGAAAGTTGTTTATTGAGGAGAACGATGTCTCTCTTTGTAATGAAGCATAACAGCATTAGAATTGAAATAATTAATTTTCCCTATATCTGGACATTCTGTCTAGAAGGCAATTGATGGTTATTTTCCTGCCTAGACCTATTGTCTTTTATCTCACTAAGATAGATTACTCAGTAAATTCGAATCATAAAAAATAGTGATGTTGCCAAATGGCAACAGACGGCCGTAAAGGGACAAAAATCTTGGAAAGATCAATTTTTTTCTTCTATGCAAGACCAAAATTTAATGTCTTTCTTTTAAATTCATACCTTCATACTAAACAAGAGTCTGTCTTTCTGTCCATCCTTTGCAAGCCAAAGATGAGATATTTCTAGAATATTCCAAAAGTTTTCTGAACGGTACAAAAGAACCGGTGTTGATAAGGCCACGTTTCATCTCAAAAGAATATTTTCACGAAATAATTATATGAGTAGAACAAGGTTGATATGAACTACAAAACTAGCATAGTCATGTTCCTTAGAAACACTTTCCGCTTTTTGACCCTTGTACTCCTATAGGATTTCGACAAAAATTTTTTTTAAATAAAATGATCAGTGCAACGAGCTCTACAAAGTTCCACAAGCGAAACAATTTTCTGGGATCCTTGTATCTTTTGTGGTTGAGTACTCATGGAAGTTCCCATCAAAAATAAGATTCGCAACTCTTTGGTCGTCTGTAGTATGATCATTCTTGGATTGGATTTCAATTGAATTATGTCAAAAATTGATCAATAGAATCTTTAAATATAACTAAATCAAATAAATATAAATAATATATAAGAGATGAAATTTTTTTTCCTACAAAAGTTATAGAATATGATCATAGATTAATTCTAATTGAGATGCAAAACGAGTAAATATTTATCTAAGTGATAATAAACACATAAAATATATCTTGTGAATTATAATATATCAATCGAACATAATCATCTAAAGTTAATCGAAGAAATTTCTTAACTGTATACAGAAGTGAATGAATTCTAAAGAAAAAATTTATAGAAAATAATTCAAATAAAAATAATCATACTAGTTGATGATGATGAGCAAGATATTTAAGCAATAATCATTTTGATCAATCAAAATTATTCAATGACAATATATTTGGATTCTTAGTTTCTAGATATAATAAATTATATTTTATATATGAACATTAATTTTAAAAAAAGACATGCCTATCTATAATTCATAATTCCTCACTTTTTTTTAAATTGACTTATGAAATCCAATTGAATTTAATGATATATCGTCAAAATTGAATATTCCGATTGAATGCAACATCTTACTTTTGTCTGGTTTATGATAGTTCGTTTTCCGTTTATATTGTTCAGTTGTATTAACTGAAAAATGAATCATACCAATAGAAATTGTTTTCAAAAAGTGTTAGAGGCATTAGTCCATGTAAAAAAAAATATGTGTTTTAGCTAAAATTTTTCGTCGATTTTCTCCATTATATCTACCAGCTTCGCTATAATTTAAATGATGATCGATAAAATAAACTTCTTCATGAATTAAATCAAGTGTTAAACATACTGGCATTTAAATTAAATCATTTAGAAACATTATACATTGTTGACCATCCATACAAGAATGTTCACTACGTTAATTTTTACCCCAATCAATTAAAAATAGGAAACGAATACCAGCACGTTACTTTTTGCTTTCGAAATGAACAAAATTCTGTGTGACTAATTTGCGACTCTACGAAAAAGAATAATTTTTTGGTGTACGATGAATTCATTTTCTTATTTCATCCGTTAATAAAGTCTTTTTTTTACTTTATCCGATTGTATATTGTAGCAATTAGAAAACACATACATTGGCCTAAATTCGGTCATTGATTATGAGCCTCGATATGATTGATTAACTGAAGCAATAAGAAAATGAATTTCTCGTGTGCCCAAAATAGTTTTTTCGCATCGTAGAAAATTAGTCGCACAGAATTTCGTTCATCTTGGAAACAAAAGGTGCATATATAAAATAAGCTGTTTTTTGTAAACTCTAAAGCTTTTGATACTGCATTTTGTGCTTATATGTTTTATTGTGTTTTTTAAATACAGCATATCAGCTGATAAAAAAATTAAATTAGAGAAAGCATAAATTCGTTGTGTACTAAAAAATTATTTGTTTTTTTGGAGCGTTAAAAACTAGACACTCACAATCTTGTCCATTTTGAAAAGCAAAAGTGTAACTATAAAAATAAGGTGTTTTTAGTCAAATGTAGAACTTTTCACGCTACATCTTCTGCTATATTTTGTTTTTTTAATACAGTGTATTGAGTAGTAAAAAAGTGAAATAGAAAAAGGAACTTTGTTTTTGCTTTGGCAGACTGCAATTGCCCAAGAATTTGTTCAATTTTCATCAAATAATATTCGACAGTAACGACCATCAAATGTTGAAACTTCAACATGTTCAAGCATATAATCAGTCTAATATTAATAACGTCCAATCGAATCAAATGTCATACCATCTCTATAACTATTTCCACTTGTTATAACTTGAAGAAATCGAATATTCTATTCAAAAATTTTAATAAATCAATTTTACTTTTGTATAATTAGTTACTCGTGTACAACAGCTATAGATTGAATTTTATGGATATATTTCACTTACCACACTGTGAACTTACATCTGTACTATCAATAAAATCTTGTTGGCCATTAAATACTTTTCGTATATCAACACATTGATCAGTTACATAACATGGATGCGTATGTAGTGAACATTGTCTTGCACTACAATGCATTTCATCATTTCGATCAGGGCAATCATTACCAAGATTTAATTCATCAAAAATAAACCTTTCATAGTTCTTTTCTTCTTAAACAACTTCCCAGAAATCCATAAAGGTGGAATACATCTTCTGTTAGAACATCGAAATTGATTTTTGTGTACAATTCGATCGTGCT